TTGCATGACAAATGGCACCAAAATTTAGTGACTTAAAACAGCATTTGTTGTCTTAGTTTCTGTAGGATAGGAATCAGGTGTGACTTAGTTGGGTCCTCTCTCTGAATCCCTCAAAGGTCTCGGTTAAAGCGTCAGCCAGGGCTTTGGTGGTCTTTAGGTTCAACTTGAGGTGGATCTGCTTCCAAGCTCTCTATAATTGCTGTGGGTAGGATTTAATTTCTCATACGCTGTTGACGAGGGGCTTGAGTTCTTGCCACAGGAGCCTCTCCACAGGAAAGCTTAGGACATGGCTCTAGGCTTCATCAGAATGACCAAGAGAGGGAGCAATAGAGAAAGTGTTAGCAAGATGGAAGTTGTGTCCTTTCATTACCTAATTTCAGAAATGACATCCCATCACTTTTGCAATATTATATTCATTAGAATCAAGTCTGGTTCATAGTGGGTGCTTTTTCACTGTGTCCTCACTTGTGGAAGTGGTGAGTAAGTTCTTGGGGTCTTTTTTATAAAGGCACTAATCCCTTTCATGAAGGCTCCACCCTCATGACCTAAGTACCTTGCAAAGGCCTCTCTTCCTAAAACTATTACATGAGGCATTAGGATTTTAACATATGAATTTGGGGAGGATACAAATATTCAGACCACAGCACTACCAAATATTTAGAGGATCAACACCAAGTTTACACATACTTTTCCTAAAAATAAAAGAAGGAATACTTCCCAACTTATTTTTATAAAGTCATATGAAAATGTACAGTCATATATACATAAGCCTGTATGTTTATATGTATGAACAAATACACTATATGCATTAGAAATCAGTATAAAGGAGAACATTAAATCACACAGAATCTAGATATAATCACTCTTAAAAGTTCAAAGTTTTTTTTTACTGAAATTAAAATTGCTTTAAAAATTAGGTAGTTAATGCCTCACCTGAGCACAGCATCTGACTGCAGCATCGGGAGGGGGAGAGACCCGCCTGCCCACTGGCCACAGTGCCAGAGAGATATGAGCAATATGAAGAAACAGAGAAACCACTCCCAATTAAAAGATCAAGAGAAATCCCCTGAAAGCACAATCAAGGAAATAGACATTGATGGCCTACTAGATCAAGATTTCAAAATAGGAGTGATCAAAGTACTGAAGGAACTAAAAGAAATAGTGTTTAGAGATATAAAATATGTCAAAAATGAAACAAGCTATAAAGAAGAACCAAGTAGAATTAGTAAACTCATTTCCTGAGATGAGAA